TCTCTCTCTGTGTCTCTCTCTGTGTCTGTCTGTCTGTCTGTCTCTCTCTCTCTCTCTCTCTCCCCTCCCCCCACCACCATCTCTCACCAGGGTTTCACTGTGAAGTTCAGGTTGGCCTTGGCCTTGAACTCACTTTGTAGCCCAGGTTGGCCTCCAACCCATGGTTATCCTCTTGCTTCCATCTTCCAAGTACTGGGATTATAGGTGTGTGCCATCATGCCTGGCTGTGGTTGCTTTTTAAATTAATTTTATAGTATGTTGTAGTTTTATGGCTTGAAAATGTCTTATGAAAGTTTCCCAACTAATCCTGAGTTTATCCGATGTCATCAAGTCTATAGGGAAGTTAAAGATGTTGGTATACCTGGATGTGTCAAAAAACAGGATAGAAACGGTTGATATGGATATTTCTGGATGTGAAGCTCTTGAGGATCTCTTACTGTCATCCAACATGTTGCAACAGTTGCCCGACTCTATAGGTGAGAATATAATGTTTTATCATGAACAGTTATGTCAAATATACTCTTTTGTTTTGAAGTAGTATAGTGTGTTTAGAGATGCAGGCAGCAGACTGCCTGCCTGATATATCATGATATACTCTGCTATATCATGAAATAGTATTCCACAAGTATTTTTAAGTGAAATGCTAAATATTGTTGTCAAGTTCAAGAAGGCTTTTATATTAAAATGATTCTCCCAGATTAATATATTTATAAACGGTTATATCATTTATATTGTAAAATGTTTATTTTGGAGCGTTGGGGATTCTTATGTATTTGGTACAGGTTCTCACTACGCAGCTTGAACTCATAATGATATGATCCTCCTGTTTTCATCCTCCCCAGCACTGGGATTGTAGGTGTGAACCACCATGCCGGGTCTCTGTTGCAGCTCAGAGCACCCCGAGGTGGGGCCAGTGCAGCCTGTAAAATGTGGCTATAATGGTTCTATAACTTAAAACTAGAGTAAGTTAAAAATAATATGTTTGTGAAATAAATAAATAAATAAGAATAATGCTTCTGAATGTGATTATAGTAGCTGCTGTCCATAAGATGTTGCTGTATTTTTATTTTCAATAGCTTTGTAACATTGTTATGACATAGGTCTCTTAGTTTTCTTTTCTCCAGTTGTTGGGACAAAATACCTACCACCCAAAATTAAGGAAGGAAAGGTTTATTTAGCTCACAGTTAGTGGAGGTTTCAGTCCATACTTAGATGGCTCCAAGGCAGAGTGGTACATGACAGAGGGCAGCAGTTCACAGCAGCAGAAAACAGCACAAAGCAAGAGGAGGAGCAAGGCCCAGATGCTAGCAAGCCTCTTTCCTGCCTTACATTTGTGTGCAGATTTTCTGCCCCAGGACAGGTTTAGCACTTACACCCATAGTTTCAGCAATAGATTAAGAATTAATCACAAACTCTAGAAACCGTCCCATGACTGCATGAAGCTTTGGGGGGACACCTAGACATGAATCGTAACAATAGAGATAGTATTTAAATGGATAAATATAAAATGTGTATAATTATAAAATGTCTTATTGATTCTATTATTTTAAAAACAGAACATGTTAAGACACTTGAAGATAGAAATTTGTGAATATGTAATAAGTGCTCCACATTTTTATTTAATAAATATAGGCAAGAGTAACATTATGAAATATAAGTTTAAATAGTACATAAACCCTTTTATATAGATATTTTGCTAATATTATTTATATTATTTATGAGGGAACCCAATCAGGAAGGTGATCATCAAATTACTTCATTTTGGAATAAAACTTTTATATTACAAAATTATAATACGTACATTATATGTACTGGAATTTAAAACTTCTAAAAAGTAGGTCACAGCCTAGGCAACATGAGAGAAAGGCAACTTGATGATAGGTGGTTCACAAATTTTTCTTTATTCCACTTTCATTTTTGTCATTCTTTGAGGCGTACAGAGAACACTGGTTTTAGCAGAATCATAGTCTCCCTTCTTTCTTTCTAGATTAGCAGACCTTTGTAGTTATGTAATGACATATTTGAAACCTGTGTTTTTCCAGTTTGTTCAGTGATAGGACTTTACTGTAGGCATAGTCAACATTTTTTCTTATTTCTATGCTCTAGTTCTAAAAATTCTCACTCAGGAAGTCTTCACTGAGCCACTGTGCCTGGGTATGATAGGAGAAGAAACAAAAGGATGGAGAGAAACACTCACAGAAAAGGAAAAGGAAACTAAAATTTTAAAAAACTAGAGTATGGAGCTCTGTTCGTGACTCTGGGATGATTCCCCGAGGCTTGCTGGATGACCAGTTTCATCCTGTCTTGTTTATTTGAGATTGTCTATAGACTACTAACACCTAAAAGAACAAATGATAAGAGCAGTGTTAATAAATCCTGTTGGACAGTATTAATAAAAGAAAATAGCAACTATCATAAGGTCTTTACTTCCACTGCACCCAGCTGAGTCCTCTGCAGCTATGGTCTGTTTGACCACAAGACAAACTCCACAGTAAGCCCTGCATGGGCAAGGCCTTTTCTTCAACTGGCTCCAGGGAAAGTGAAAACTTGTGTTTTCTTCTAGGGAATTTTAATATTCTGCTTCTTTGGATAATAGAGAAACTCAATACAAAGCAACACAGTTTTTCACCTTTAAAATAATTCACCTTAATCATTTAATGACTAAGAATACACGTATTATCTGAGTTCAGACTCTGGCTTTTCTGTCTTACTAGTTGTATGACCTTAAAAATTTACTTAACTTGTGTCTTAGTTTCATCATCTACTAAGTGAGGTTAGTAATAATCCCTACATAACAGTATTACTTTCAGGAATAAATCAATTCATGCATGTAAAATGGCTTAGAACTGTCCCTGCCTATCTACCAGTAGCTGTTATGGTAACATAAATATTATTAGATTTGATAAGAGCACATCTGTTTGCTTCAAAGTTGTATTGACTTGCAAAATGCACTTAAATATTAGCAACTTTAATAACGATATATTAATGTTTAATGCAGCAATGGTAACTATGTATTTCCATAAGAGCAGCTAAATCACAGTAATAGACCTCCTTTTTCCTCATTAGTACTTCTTAGGTGAGAACTTAAGATGAAGGGGTAGAGAATTGGGGAAGTGGAGAGAAAGAATAGAGAAACATTTTTTGATTCTTGTGGAGGAGAAGAGGATCCAAGCAGATGTGATACTGCAGTGCGCTCAAGGAACTGTCCCCCAAAGGAAACCATGAGCAGTGTGTGTGATGCCGGGGTCTAACCCTACAGTCAGAGTCCAGCTGAGACCCCAGAACCTTTCCACTCCTCTCACAACCTGCCAGTGGAAAATCTGTCATGTCATGGCTGAGCGAGGTTCCTATGATTCCACAGGCCTGGAGCTAGGCAGGGAGCCCTCATTCGCTTCCACTTTTACCCTTCTAGGAGGAGTCACTACCCCAGTATTCAGAAACATCTGTTGCGTTCAGAAATGCAAAAGGAAATGCCTTGGTCCACAGCCTTCCTTGAGATTTTATCAAGTAGTCAAGGGACTGTGAGATCTTTCTATCAAATGCTTGGTGACCCAGCTTCCTGGTGTTTACCCAGTAGAGTGAGGCAAAGGTTGTCAACCTCTTCCAGATCCAACAGTGTGGAGCAGGTTGTGAAAAAGTGTGGCTGTCATTCAAAGTCCCTGTTTTCTTTCCACCACTGATAAACAAGCTCAGGTGTTCTTTTCTAGTTCCAAAGCTGTTATTCAGATACACACACTAGAGCCGAAATGATTCCAAGACCTCTTGAACATAGATGAATACAGCAGTGGGTGTTCAGACTTCAGGGCTGAGCTGGCTTCGCACACATTGTCCTCCTCCCCAGGTGCTGTGGTTTTCAGTTGATGTCTTAAGCTCCGGATGTTGTAGGTATTTTCACACACCAGTCACAAAGTGATAACATTTCGCTCCTCCTTAGTAGAGATTCTGAAAGCTTCTGAAGAAACCATAAATGAGTATACTACTGTGGGAAGCACAATGACAGCTTAATTTCAGAGATTTTGTAGCTTAAACTTGCTATATCCTCAAAATGTTTGAGATGGGTTAGGCATAACTTCAAAGCATTTTCCTGATAGCACTACCTTTTAAAGATACTCTGCAGGTACACACACACACACTCACACACACACACTTTCACAATAATTTTAGAGAGTCACATAGTTCCAATAGTACATGAAAATGTTCTAAAGAAACTTCAGTAGAGAAAGCTATACAATTTTGTTTAAGTTGACATTTCTCAAAGCAGATTTTACCATGAAATTTATTATTTTTTTAAATATATATTTTTGCAGGGCACGGTAATCTATCATGTATAAATGTGGTGTAATGTAAATGTAGCAAATATAAATGTGGTCCCAATATAAAACAAAACTAACCTAATGCTAATGCCCTATCCTTGCAGTTTGGATGCTTAGAAATATTGATCTGCTGGGTTGTATTTGGCAAGATGAGGAGGTCATGATGCCAAATGCAACTGCTCTTCAATTATTGTGTGGCTATTGCTCATTTAGACCCTGGGAAGAGCACAAGCCACAAAGGTATTGAGGGCATAAATCAGAGAGTAAAAGATAAATACTTGTAACTTCAATTCTTGGCAGGGTCTCCTTGCTACATTAAAAACTGCAAGTTTCTGTGTTATGCTGATTCAAGTTAAAGATGTATGCTACCAAAAAGAATATGAGGTCATATGTTGTAATTTTCCAAGTCCATAATTACAAGCACCATGTGGGAATGCCTTGGTACTCATTCCTTGGTTTTAGGCTTAATTGAGATTTGTTTTCAATCTGCACCACAACAGGAAGGATAGCTATTAGTGCTTAGGAGCCAATTACATACTAAATCACAGCTGGTTTGAAAAATTTCACCTGGTCCCTTTACTGAAAAACACAAAAGGAAATGAAGTAACATTTGTTAACACGAGTGCGTAGGGAGCCCTCCATACTGGTCTATATTGTGTTTACTGGTCTACATCGTATATGTCCTTACACTCCCAAGAATGTGAGTGAAATTTCACAAGAGAGCCAAAACCAGACTGCATGCAAATACTGTATCAGCTCATGGGATGATATAACCAGAAGGCAACCAATTAGTATGACAAGCATCCATCTCAAGGGATTTCCCCCAGTTTCCTTCAGATGACCATCCCTACCATCGACCTGCCCAAGTGTATTAATACGCCTTCTTCTCTATTCTAGGACTGTTGAAAAAACTGACTACTCTAAAAGTAGATGACAATCAACTTACAATGCTGCCCAACACAATCGGAAAGTAAGTGCCAACGTTTCCTCTCTGGCAGCCTATGTAAATCCAGAAATTAAAGGATATATGGTTTTCTACTTCAAAACACTGTACTATGTGTTCATAGGGCAGCTTATTTTAGACTATATTTTATTCAGTTATATGCATTTGGATATAGTATATCTTAATGTAATTTACATCTGAATATTACATTGGTATCCAGCAATATAAAATTATGAGAAATAGCCAGCCATAAATCTTTCACAAGCTAAACAACTATACAGACTTTCAATTGTACTCTTGGTGGTATTTCCATCTTGTGTTGATGTTTTGACTGAGTCGTAGCTCTACATTCACCCAAATATTTCTTGAAAAATCAAATCAATTTTTAAGGCTCCTTAATATATATATTTTGCTATTATATTATTTAAAATATTATACATATATATATATACATGCTTAGTGTATTTTTAGAATCTAAAAAGGGAAAGTACTTGGTTAGCCAATATTTTCAAGATAAGTCTAACATTGCCTCTTTATGCTCTCTTTATTGACAGTAATTTATTTTTAGCTCAATATTGCTCTTAACATTTGATTCACAGTTCTTTTCTATATTTTTCTCAGTGTTTCACTAAAATGCTTGTATGTTTACAGTTCATGTGAAGTGACAAATCAATACAATCTGGCTTTGCTCTGAAATTATACACATGCCCATTTTTTTCAGGATCTCGGCCCTCTTCTCAGTATGAAGAATTATATAAATATTTGTCAGTTTTGGGTATACTTGGGAAGAGAAAAACCCATTTTTTTCTATATAAGTATAATATTAAGTATAATTGACAGCAAAAGAGTGAACGCAGTTAAAGTCTTAAATGTGATAGGTTTTAGCATAGCAGAAAAGAGGTGGGAGGATCCCCACTGACATGAGGATGGTGAATGCCTCCCTTACATCCCCTCTACTACATCCCTTGTCACTCAGAAAGCTTCACTTTTAAAGAGTAGGATAATTTTGAAAGATCCAAATTTCAGTATTCAGACTCTTAAGGACAAAAGAAGTCTCAACCATTTGTAATGTTGCAGTACCCTCTGCACACACATGATCATTTCATCTACAGTTTCTTCCCAATTTTTCCATTGTAGAGTATGGAGAATGTTCCTATCTTTGGAGATACACAAAAGTAGCCATTCTCATCAATCTGATTTTTTTAAAAAATATTCCAAGTTGTATTCATCAGCAGTCATCCTCGTTGGCTCAGTTCTCACAGGCAATGGAATTCAGTTTTATTTATGTCCACTCAGATGATGATTGGTGTGTTGACCTATGTTCATATTTCTTGTACAAACTAATTACCTCAGTTCCTTAAAGGTGAAAGGAAGAGGTTAGATAACCTGAAAGTAGGTGAAATTTCTTTTCACAACGCAGTGCAACCTTCCCTTTGGTCATCCTGAGAGTAGGCTTTTGGCGGTGGACTGGGAATTCCCAGCCAGGCTGTTGGTCTCTTAATGAACTCCCAGGTGCAAGCGCAGCTTTTTCTGGAGTCTGTTTGAGCCCATGGCTGACCCTGGAGACCTGTGTTCCCTGAGCTCCTTCACTCATCAGTGTGAGTGCCTGCCTCTGCCTGGCCCAGCTGTGTCTCATGCCAGAATTCATTTTTGGAGTAGGAAGGTGACAGTGCTAGCTGGGTCTCCTTCCCTGCAGCCAAGCAGAGTGTGGCAGCCTGGCTCTGCACACGCATCTCAACTTGAGTCCATCTCAGTTGTTATTTTATCACCAATATCTATTTATATCTTTTGCAGTCTTTCTATAGTTGAATTATAAATGTGGAAAAAGTTGAACTTACCTGATAGTGACTTGAGGTGAGCTTTTATACTCCTACGTTCAAAAGAAAGTGATATAGAAACATCAGCTCGCTCTCAGCAGCTTCAATTATTTCTCAGAACAAAAGACTTATTACAGGAAAGCAGGGAAAACAACTGGGCATTAGAGCATCTATGAACACTGAAAAGACTGGATAGTGAGCCTTCATTTTGAAAGCCATTCATCCTTATCAAATTCTCAGATATCAAAAATTCAGAAGAAACACATGAAATGAGAGAAGCAATATTTAAAAGAGCTGGACAGGGTGGGTTCTTCCCTGAAGGACCATCAGAACTTACAGACATTCGTGGAGGGACAGGAGAAGCTAGGGCTTTGCTGGGCCATAATGAGAATTACTCAGTATCATAACAGAGCTGTCCAGAAAGCTGCTGACACCTTAGTTCTACAGAGACAAAAGGATCCACTCAAAGGCAGTGGCTGCAGATAGTTCAGGCATTTCCTGGTACTCTGGGCTGCCAGTTTCAGGGATCATCTCTAACATGATGGACAAGAGAATGTGATTTTATTAAAACCTAGAAACTCAGGTTCCCGCCTCTGCTAACACTCATTACACTGAAGGCTCCTGAAGCTCACAGATCTCCTCCTTCACTCAACTTTGGTCATACTGGCTCTACTTCAGCGTCTCCAACAAACAACACCTCCTCTTGCTTCAGGGTTTTCTCATTTCTTGTTACCTCAACCTGAAATAGTCTATCTGGACTTTTTATAAAGCTGATGGCTTTGCACCTCCCAGGTCCGTGCTCTTAAGTTTCAACGTGCATTTGAATTACCGGGGAATCATTTTTGAAAGGCAGATTCTGCCCCAGCAGGTCTGAGGCCTTAGGAGCTCCAAGCTCTATGTTGGTCGTGAACATCCAAGTGAAGTCAGTGTCTCAGGTGCGTGGACACTTTGGGGAGCAGGGTTCCAGTTCTGGCTTTGTCACTTCCACAGTGCAGCTTTGCCTTAGTGCTCCTTGAACAGTTTATCCACCCTCAGATTCTTTCTGTCTCTCTGTCTGTTTTGCTTCCTTCCTGGCACTTCTCAGAATCTATACTTGCTTACTTTCCAGTTCACTGCATTGTTCAGTTCTATCTTGTAAATACAGCAATCAGACCTCCATTAAGATAGTTTTCCAATTTCAGCTCCATGTTTGTACAAGGTTTCCAAAAATCATGAATTCTAGGCCCTAGATTACTGGTGATTTCAACCCAAGATTGTTTTGCATTACTCTGAATTTTTTGGTAAGAAGATAAGAATGTCAAACACTAATGATGTTTATAGTGATATGTCTTCTTGTTTAGAACTCTTCTGCTTCTATATTTCACTAAGTGGTTCTGTTCAGAATGAAAACACAAAACTAAAAATGGGGTGATTATGTAAGTGAGTACGGATGCTAGGTTATTCACATACTTGATTTTCCTTTCATGAAGACTGATAATTCTCTTAAAAGTATGAGGAAGATTTATCAAAGATAAAAGGGACTACTTAATTCAAAGATTGATTATTGATTTAGAAAGGTAAAGGTTAATAATCATAGAAGCTCAGTTTTATAATGACTTTTAATGCCATGATCATCTTTTGATTATTGTTTCAGGGAAAATGTAAGGGACATGTCAAAGAATGGACTAATAAGCAGAAGTTTTTTAAAAAGTGTTGGCTATATCAAAAACAAAATGTTAATCCCCTCACTAAATGTTCTTGCTTAAGAAAATGTGGTTACTTCTATTAAAAATATATTAACACATATTAACATGTCGTGGACTTATAAGAACAAATATGAAGCATGTTTAAGTTCTTATTTTAATTTATAACATAGTAAATGCCAATAGATATAACCTATATAAACCAAAATTATTGGGGGTCATTAGGGATTTTTTAAAGTGTGACGAGATCCTCACACTGATAAGATTGAGGATTCTTTTTGTATTTGTCAGAGTTTGGAAGTTGTCAAATTTAGTCAAATTATAAACACTATTGTCTAACCTACATGCTCATTCCAAGGTAGTTATCTGCATGTAGTGTTTTGAATTTACCTGAAGATATTCCTAAAGGATTCTTGTGCCCTTGAAAAACAATTTATGCCTGAAAAAACAAGCAATAATACAATGATTTGTCTTTGTTACCTCAGAGTTCAGAATTTCTAGGTTAGAGCTGCAGTGAGGTTTGCTTACGGTCCAGGTAACTGGCACTCAGAACATGCAGAAAGTGTTTTATTCTCAGTCAAATAATCAGCAGTTGTTATGAAGCATATTCTACCTAAAATTCTGAACACTGAAACCCTAGAAATGTTAAAAGCAATTTCAGCGACTAAGACTCTTATTTTGCATGTGAATATTTAAACATTTTAGATTTATATTTGGTATTTGGTAGTAGTGCAGCCATTAAAACCTACTAGAAGCATTTTTATTTTTCACATTTGAAATAGGTTCTATAATTGGTGTGCCAATGACACGTAAAATTGTTTGTTTTGTTTTGTTTTTTAATGTATTTAGTACACTGTCTCACTACACAGATTGGACTCATAGTGATGCTCCTGTTTTCAGCCTCCCAAGTGCTGGACTACAGGCACGTGCCACCATGCCCAGGCTCAGTTGCTGTCTCAGTGCACCCTGGGGGTGGGGCCCACACAGCACGCCAGGGATTGAACTCCCATCGCTGTACCTGCCTAAGCAGGTGCTTTAGTCAACTCAGCTATCTGGCTGGCCCTAAATTGCTTTTGTTGTTGACCCTTCACCTTTGCCTAGAGGTCTCAACAGCACCAGGAATTGAAACTTAAATGAAAATAATTAATAAACAACTTTTGGGGGCTCATGGTGTTCACACGCCATGTTGGGTGAGTTGTAGACAGTACCTTTAATTAAAGGTCCCATTTATGCTCTTTGATATGGATTCTCCTCCCATCAGCAGCCATAGACACTGAGGCTCGAGGAAGCAGCCCTCCTTCAACGCCAAGCTGTTAATTCAACTGTATCACATAAATCAATGTATCGAAGAATTGAGTTGCACATTTTGTGACTGACTTTTCATACCCAGTGATTTAATGGGCCCCACTGCCCTAGCCAAGAAGGATTTTTGACAAGAGAAACCAAATGCTGAGCTTGCTCTTTCTTGGCTTTATGGTCTTGGGTAAAAGCAATAAGAATTCAGAATTTTGAAGTGGTGTTTTGAAAA